AGGAAGATTTCAGACTGAGGGCTGCAGTATTTCAAAGCCAGAGCTCTTAACTATTTTATGTCAGAGCATATTGCTCAGATCATTTTTCTAAATATCAAGTCTCAGCTGGGGTTTAGGCTGGAGCATCCAGACTGTGCCAGGTTCTGCAGCAGGAATGAGTTAGACAAGATCCCTGCGCTTGGGGATTCCCAGTGCCACTGAGAACCTAGAGAAGGAAGACATACGTGAACAGTGCAAAGGAGCACGTCTGTAGTCGGAACACTTTGCTGCAGGAGAGAGCAGGAGAGAGCAGTCACTAGAACTAGACATGCCCAAGAGCCAGCACTGGACGCGTAAGGAGTGTTCCCTGGACAAAGGGCATCCTAGGCAGAGGGAAGAGTGTGAGCTGGGGGCAGAAGATCTGAACAGGCACAGTGCTGGAGCATAGCTGGTCTGGAGACAAGGGCAGAAGGAGACATTGTAGAGTCTGGTCAGGCTGTGACAGGCCTGGAATGTCACTTGAGCTTCGCCCTAGGAAGTTGTGCTGAGTTTTTGTTTTGTTTCATCACATCTGAGGTTTACTTAGAAGATCTGGTGGGAAGAAACATCCTGTTCACCACAGTTGTGACCATGGAAATCCATGTGACAGCTAATTTCTCCTTCCTGGTCATCGCAGAACAGTGTGGTGTAGTAATTAAGAGTGTGCTCTTTAGGGACAGAGTTCAGATAATAGCCCTGCCACTCATTAGCTGTGTGATCTAGGGCCCATCACTTAACCTCCCTGTGCCTTGGCTTCCTTTGTCTGCTAAATGAGAACAGTAATATCTGTAACTCTCAGAACAGTGTCTGGCCCATGGGAAGGGCTGTGGAAGTGTTTGGCAGCGTTATCACTAGGCCAGTTCAGACCAGGATCCTGTCTGTATTCCCCATGCACCATGTTCTAGGACCCTCTCTGCCTCTCATGGGTGAAGCCCACGGTGACTGCCAGGGCCTAGGAACTACACCACTCACATGAGTCTCTTGTCTCTGTGTCCACAGCGGATGATGCGTGTGGTGGGACCCTGCGGGGCCAGAGCGGCATCATCTCCAGTCCCCACTTCCCCTCGGAGTACCATAACAATGCTGACTGCACGTGGACCATTCTGGCTGAGCTGGGAGACACCATCGCCCTGGTCTTTATTGACTTCCAGCTGGAGGACGGTTACGACTTTCTGGAAGTCACGGGGACCGAAGGCTCCTCCCTCTGGTAAGCACACCTCCCCACCCTCTTCATGCCCTCCCCTGTCTTCTGCAGCTGTGAGTTACCAGGATGCACATGGTGTCCTTAGTGCCTGGACCTGCCGCCCAAGGCCTCCTTGCCACTTCCTTACACCTACTGTTGGAGTCTTTTCATCTCATCATAATAACAAATCACTGCTTATTTTTAGAGCTGGGGCAAATTTTTACAGTGACTTTGGTATCTGATTTGAAGCATGTCCTTGCTGAAGAATATCATAATGGGCCATGGTGGAATAACTTGCATTAAGACTAAAAATGTTCTGGTCTCAGGAGGTGGACAGGGTCTCAGTAAAATGATTTGAAATAATTGCTCTATTTCAGGAAGACAAAGGGACTAGAACCTTAAGTGGCAATTGCTTTTCCCACTGCCAAGACCCAGAGATATTGGAAAGACTTTGTGTCTCAGTGTCTGAAGGGAAGGACTGACCTTCTTCCTCTTCTGGCTTTGCTAAAAAGCATGGGCTCTGGGCCGGCCCGGTGGCGCACTGGATAGTGCGCCGCTTGGGAAGCGCGGCAGCGCTCCTGTCCGAGGGTTCGGATCCCACATACAGACCGGCTCCCGCTCACTGGCTGAGCGAGGCGCGGGAG